GAGTATGCAGGGATACTCATGGTAACAGTTAATTGCATTGACCATACCAAAGTTCTTAATCAGCGGAAAAAATCACTACAGTCAGCAAGCTGTTCCAACTTTTCTACTCCTGAAAGCAACATATTTCAGGCGAGAGAAAAAAGCATTTTAACCTTTTTTGTAAATTGTACAGAGTGTACGTTTTAAAAAAAAATTAATTTTTAAATGTTTTTTCCCCCCTCCTTTTTTCAGCATTTAAAATTTGAATTTATTTCTTGAGCACATGCAACCGATACCACAGACTAATAAAAGACTGCAGTTTTTACTAATTCAAAATTTTGGGATTCAAAAGTCACTGACCAGTTTGGTAGTGACATCATCAGTGGAGACTTCCTTGTTGTCTGGCTTGAAGGAGTGCTCCTGGATCTCCATGGGTGGTGGCATCTCAATGTCCTGGGCCGGTTCCTCCTCCTCGCTGGTGGCATCCAGAGGGCTCTTCTGGTTGACCACAGCCACCTGGGGCGCGATGGTCTGGTCGCCCGTGACAACGCTCTCTCCACCCGTAGAGTCCTGGAGACATTAGAGAAGAAATATTTGATAAAGAAAGCTTTTTGTAAGGTTCAAGCAACAGACAAATACAATGGCTGGAAGACATTGGAAGGGAAACAAAGGCCAGACAGGGAACGTTAAAGGTAGTCCTACGAGGGTTTTCAGGTAGAGAAGTCACAGGTCAATATGTACAGTCTGGTCATTTAAATACTGACAAATCAAAGCAACATTAGAAGAAGGTCAAAACTGTCGTCAGTGCCGTCAGGGCATGGAGGCAGGAGGACAATACATTACCTTGAGAGGACAGTTACTGGTCGCAACTTACCTTGATGCAAACGAAAAATGTCATCTTGGAGCCTGGCCAGTGAAAAAACTGTCTGACTCACTCACTCCCCCCCCCCAACACACACACACACATATAAATAAAAATGTATAGTACACCACATTTCACGCTTTGTTGTGCATAACTACAAAATTGCCACTGTTTTCCAAAAATGTATTTCTTATCTTCCAAATAAGGAAGGCATTTATTCATTAAGGCACAAAAACTACTGACAGTACAAGAAGAAAAGGCATGCTCAGGCCTGTTTGTTTTGTGGGTTTTTTTGGCGTTACATTACTAAAACTAAACCCCATCAAAAGATTAACAAAAATTTAGAGAAAACTTGAAGATAAAACATTATCTTACAAAGGCCTGGAACATCTAATAATTTCAGGAAAACAGACCAACTTATTAAAGAAAATGGGATGCAGTGTGGGCTAACGTTTCGGCAGTCAAAACTCTAAGAAAATTGGGGAGATGGGGAAATTGAGAAGAAAATGCAAAATCTGGAGAAAGAAAGCTTCAGAGACAAGCTGGGAGACCACTCATATAGTTTCTGATTATCAAAGAAAAAAATTTCAGGCAAATGAAGCTTAAGATAACAAAGACGAACAAGTGTGCCATACACACAAGTGCACATGCACAAAGACGCAACTATAGCCCTCATACACATTGACCATTGTCCATTACCAGACACTGACTAGCCCTCAGATTTTATTGCTCTCGAACTGATCGACCCTTGAAAAGAGATCATTGACGGATACATTGGACTTCTGTAGAAATTCATCAATATTTTATTGACGTCACCTTTAGTCTTTAGTGACTGACTAGAACAGAAATCGAAAGGACAACTTCAAGCAGGAGTTGACAACACTGGACATACAAAACACTTACTGTCTTTTCTTCAGATATTTCGCCTTCTCCGACTCTTTATCTCCTCCAGTCTCTCCTTTGTCATCATCGTCTTCATCCTCTTTCATTCCGTCCTTCTCATCTTTCTCGATCTGTCCATCATCTTTGTTACTCTGTCGTTCCTCCAGAGAGACCTGACTTTCTTCCGCAGACATTGAGGTCAAGTCTGCTTTAGCAGCAGACGTTGAGCTGGCATCTCCTGATGGCTCCTACACACACAACAGAATACATAGTCAACACATATGCTCAAGATAATAAAAAATAAGAATATCAGAAATGAATTAAAAAACATAAACTGCAAGTTGTCAAGTTGCAAAATAAGTTGTAAAATCAATCTCCAAAGAGAGAAATGTTTTATTCAGTTTCTGACTCTTATGTGAAATGTCACACTCAGTCTGTAGTACTCAAGAAAAAAACAAAAACACCTTTAGATAAATTCAAAATTGAGTCCACAACAGATCTCTTAATATAAGAAGGAAACACTTTGTACACCGACAGGCTATGAGTTAACCAGTATAAATAGTGTCCATCCTACATTGTAAAAGATTTTGTATGACAGAAACCAGCTAAACTTAATGTTAATCTGACTACTTTGTAAGTTGCTGTTAGCACAATACTATGTACGGATATATCGAAAGACAAAATTAATAGAGTTTTTGGTCCCCTTTTAATTTAACGCCTTTCTGTTTCAAAGATTACCTCCAACACTGACTATATTCAAATCACAATAGGATAGAAAAATGTAAACCTGACAGAGCAGAAACAAATCCACTTCTCTTTTAGAAAATACTCATATCATACTGAGATAGACAATTCTTAATTTGACAATGCAAAAACACATTCTTCACTTGTTCTTTTAAAAATATTCATATCATACATCAGACGGAAAATTCTTAAGTAGACAATGTCCAAAAAATCCAAACAGGACAGAAGAGAGAGACCTGTCAAAAAGGTCATCTTGTACTCACAATTCTTTGTTTGACGATACTCTCGATCTGATTGGCCAGGTCCATGGAGGAGGCGGCCTCGGGCTGGGACTTGAGTGTCAGCTGGGAGGCCTGGGGGAACAACACAAAGGTCACGGCTCCCTCACAACACCAGCTAGTAGGGGACAGCGTGCTTATTTGTCATTTCATAGCATTGTGGACTTCTTCACACAGAGGCAAGATAATAACCTTTTTGCCAAGACCTGTCTGGGACTTGTTCTCAACTAATTTTGGTGAACTCGGAACAAAGCTAAACAATCAAAAACAACAAATCACAAGCCTTTCTTTTCTGTTTTTTGTATCATTCTGAAGTTCTCATCTTCAGAATACCCTAACATTCAGTGAATTTGGTATTAGGCCTATATAAACCCAGAGTACCTCCATCCGAAACTAGTTCATGGCTACATATCTATATGCCATCATGGTCATAAACAATCAGGCAAACAAAATGGTAGCCACATGGTGGG